TAGTTTAGATTCACATTATTTTGGAAACTCTTAATATTCCTTTTCTTTCAAAAGTATCACTTTATCTTTACTTCAGACGACACCTTGACAACATAGTTTGTAACATCCTTCACATTCTTGATGGTCGTGGTAGCTAATATTATTATTAAATCCTTTAATTCCTAGAGGAATATAGGGCTTCAGCTGCGCATCTCCATTGCGTTCGGTCTTCTGCCAACGTTTTCACCCCGCTCCCAGTCTGCACACACGCTTTCATCTCCTCTTCACATCACCTCCTCCAAGTCACCCTCGCACTGACGATCAACTCGCCACTTCCCTTTTGGGTTCCACTCGAGCGATGGCTTGTCTAGTGATGTCACTTGATGATTTGTTTCCTCAGTGTATGGCCAGCCAATCCATCTCCATTTCTTCCTGCCTATTTGTTTCACAATCGGTTCCCGCTGAGTTGGTTCGCTGATTCCCAGAGATCCCTGTCGCTGTTCTTTTCTGGACGGTCATCTGATCTTGAGTGGTATTGAGCGAAGACAACTGTTAATGAAGGTCTGAGGATCGTTTGAGATGCTCTTTATGACGCGCTGGCCAAGTCTCTGATCCGTATAGTGAGTAGTACTGACTGACTTCACATTGGAGTTGAAAATCCAGATCTTATTTTTGATGCTGAGTGCCGAGTGTTGACCTACACACAGACTTGAGAGTAATGAAAGCTTGTCTTGCTTTTCCTATTCTTGCTTTGATATCCTCGTCAGTTCCGTCGGCCTGTAGTTGAAACGATGCTTCCCAGGTAGGTGGGTAGGTAGAGGAGGTTGTTTCTTCCAGTTCCTCCCATTTATGCTGGCTGATTGTTGTCTGTTGTTGTTGTTGCTGTTGGTGTTGGCCAGAAATCTTCATCACCTCTGTTTTATCTATGTTCACTTGAAGTCCTATCTTTGATTCTTCTTTGCCAACTTGTTGCTTTAATAATCGATAATATTATGATGAAGATATTTCAATCCTGTTACTTTGCCCCCTTATATATATATATCCTCGGTTGTTTAACTTTTTCAGTTTATTTTACAAAGAGATTCTTAAAAAACTATAACTACTCGATGTATTTACAAGAAAATCTGTGCTTGAAGCAGAAGTCAGAGTTGCGACCATAATGAAACGAGTGACCTAAATTGTTATTTGAATAGTTTTATTGTATAACACTCTAGTCAGTTAACATGAACAGACTTTTAATTTTAATGTAAAAGCATTCTTTTTCAAATTTTCGCTTTATATTTTGAGTTATTAGGTCAACTTTAATTAAAATACCTTTTGTGTCTATTGATAATGTTACCTCTAAATAAGTACTCCCAGGTACTGAAATTTCACAGCTAAATAGAAGCATCTATATATATCACAACATTTATTAGCTGTTTCCGAGAAATTGGAGGTTCAGGCTAAAGATACTTTCTGAACGAACACGTTAGCATTCTGCAGCAGTTAACCGAGAAAGATATTAAATTCCTGTGCAAAATCAGTCATACAAACTAAGGATAGAATGACTTAGTAAATTGTCTGTCAGCATTTATCAACTCTTACTTAAGTATTGTATGTTATTGAAACACCAGGATGTATCATTCTATGTGAATAACCGCTCCTTAAAGACAGAGATAGGTCCAGTTAAATTGTAAGCACCACCAACTACCAATGGAGTGCGACCGCACCAGTGACCTTGAAACGCTCACTGAACAAGTTAGTGAAAACTGGACGACAATGTTGTCATCATCAGTAAAATATGTTCATCGAAGTTTTATGTTATTAAATGGTATATCTGGAAAGTTTCAGCTGAGGTTTGGGAAAGATTAAGTTACGGTTTATGCCAAAGACAAGTTAGAGTTAGGTTAACCTAATAAAGGCGATATTAGGGTTGGTTCAAGTTATATTACAGTTAGTTAAGAGGTATTTTCACCTTAGTGTCAGCTTCAGGAAAGATTAGGGCTATTGTTAGGGTTGGAAGACCTAAATAATTACATACATAGAATGCGGTTGATATAAGAATAGAACTTGAGCACTGTGAAAGAGTTTAATTCCATTGTGAGTAAAATTTATTTTGATAAAGTTTCACAGTATCATACGGTAATATTTACTGATGACGTTTCGAGCACAGTTTATCGCTCAGTAAATATTACTGTATAACAACACTCTGAGACTTTATCAAAATAAATTGATATTATTAATAAAATAATAAATAAATACTCCAAGTCAAAGCTGATAGCTATTTTTATCACGTTTAAGAAAAAGGTATCCTCTGCTACACTTTTATACAGTTTTTGTACATTTTTCATGAATATATGTATTTCATAACTAAAAATGCCTCCTTCACGTGATTGGTACGTTTGAGGTCATTTACTGATTGGCAATTAGTGGTTCTGAAAGTTTAACTTTGTCCAAAGATAAATTAACAATGTTGAATAAAATAAAGAAAACGTTTCAACAGAAGTGACAATCAAGTCGGAAAATAACACCAAGAATGAGTTAGACGGTACAGACCACTCTTCAGTGACTAATGAGTGTATTCATCTGCAATCCTAGAAGAAATCAGTTGAGATACTGAGTGATTTAATGGCAACGTCTCTGACTGCAGCACTCGAGTGGTAAGCATTCAAGGAAGCTGTGGTTCTTTGAAGGTGAAATTCAGCAGACAGAGAAATCAAGATCCGGGGCTTACTATTAACTGCTTCTAACCACCTAAAATCAAGTGAAAAGACTATCAATAGATCTATACAGAAAAATTTAGAAATCAGACGGCAAGTGTTTGTCTGTTCACTAAGATCATTGGCTCATTCACAAATCACTTAGCTGTCGAGAATAGCCAGCAGACTTCAAGTCGAAGAATCTTGACTGAAATTCGTCAGCACCAGTGCTTACTGTGAACAGTGTTTCTAGGTGGAGGCTGAAAATCCCGCTAATATGTCATTTTTAATAAAATAAACCAAAATAATAAGGCTATTTATTTAACCCACAATGATATTCTTAATTGTGGTGAACTGGTTTATGCGTCAGACTGTGGGGAGATGGAAGACAGGAATGGGCTGGACCACTGATTGGGAGACCTTAGAAGATCTGGATTTCTCACATGATATGTGTCTAATGTCACACAAACTCAAAGACTTGCAGGCGAAAACCAACAAACTGGCTGAAGAAGCTGGCAGTGAAAACAGGACGCCAGGCGAACATAGAGAAGACAGAAGAGATGAAAATAACCAACCAACCAACCAAAAATAGTGACAACAGCCAGCACCCATCACCATTAAAGGGAGAAATTTGACAGAGGTTACCTCTTTCACTTATTTGGTCAGGAAGCCCGGTTTCAACCACAGACAGTCGGAACAGATGAAGATATCAAAAATGGCCAGAATCGGAAAGTCAAGATACACCTTCATCACTGTGATATCGGTTTGGAAATCTTCTGTACCCCACCTCACCATTAAGAACAAGATTCGGCTTTTCAGCACAAATGTGGAATTGGTTCAACACGGGTCTGAGACTTGCAGTGAGTGTCACGAAAAGGATTTCCAACAGGCTGATGCAGACTTTTATCAACGACTGCCTACTCTGGCTCCATACTGAAGATGAAATGACAAAATGAATTGGCAACAAGAAACTATGGAAGCAAACTAACCGAGAGCCGATCGCTCAACAAATATGCAGAAGAAAATGGCGATGGATCGGGCATATAGTGAGGGGTCCGTCGAATGACATCGCGTGTAATCCAGGCCATTGCTCGTGTGGAATCCCAGTTGGAAGCAACTAGCGGGTCGTTGGCGCTAGGGTGACATGAAGGAGATTGTGTGGCGAGGAGGAGGAGGTGAGAGACTATGGGCAATAGTGGAAAGGAGAAAATAGAAGAAAGTGGAGATATTTTGTTGAAGCCCTGTTCATGCGGAACCCAAGGGAATAATAATAATAATAAATAATAAGGATACTGCAGTGAATCACAAAATTTCAAAATATCAAAGTCTGTGGTAGTTCTGTTTTCAGGAAGTGAAAATAGACCCTGTATTATCCCTTTGAATAAGAATTTTTCATTTATCGGTCACACAAAAATGAAGTTGAGAAAAGTGAAAACAGAGTACTAGAGTATAGGGAGTATACTAATAACTGAAAATAGATCTGAAATCGATGATATCCTCATGTTTTTCTCTCTCGGATAGATGAGATCTGGTTTCTACCCAAATTTTTAATCTTACTTTTCAGGTGAATGGAAATCGACAACATATTAACTTATTATTTATATTTATTGATACATTCAACTCTGATGGTTTCGATGAATTTCAGTTGGCGAGAAAATATGGTTTATCGATTAGGTGAAAATCTTTTTTATTCAGTTGTGTTTAATTCCTCCCATATGTTACCCTCATCGTGGGGGAATACTGGCTGATTTCATAGTAAGGACAATATACAAGATAGATTGTACTAGAGAAAACTACAAATTAATTAATAAGGTGAGGTGGCTTTGTGTTTTCGTTCACTTATAAGGCGATTATCATGGAATTCAAGTATTGCTTTGTAAGGAATTGATTGATTTGTCACAGGATTTCGTCACGAGCTGACAACACTTAGAGAACCACCAGAAAACCAACTAGGAGTGCTGGACTGATGTTTCATTCTAGTCTCGGACTCCTCGTTAGTACGCACCTACAAGGTTTTGAACCAAGGACCGCCTGGCTATAGGGCTAGCGAGCTCTTAAACCATTACGCCACTGGGACCCGATCCAATGACCAGCCCATCAATTCTAACTTCTGCCAATTCATGACGCAGCACCACCACTTCCCAATGTCTTCACTTTCAAACTGCCGTACCCTGCTGGTCATGGCTTCTCACTGAAACCCCGGCTAACTGCCTGAATAGAACCAGTCGCTAGTGAGTATCGATTAATTTTCAAGTATTGGTTTTTCTAGGGATTTGATTGATTGGTTACAGGATTATCATGGAAGTTGGAATCATGTCTGTTCATTTCACTTATGAATTTTAGGCTGTCTTCATGCTTTCGATGTGGTGAAAAACTGCAGAAAAATGATTTAATTTTCCAAGTTGATGCAGATACATTATATCATGAATCATGCTTTAACTGCTACATATGTGGACGCCTGTTAAAATGTGGTGATACTTATATAATGGATGGTAAAACTATTCAGTGTTCACTACACGACAATGTGACTGCAAATAAACAGTCATATATTATGACCAAAATCTTAGCATCTTCTCTATCTGATCTGTTCACTGCAGCAAATTATGCACATTCTTATTCATCTAACTCTCAAGCACAGACTACATCAAGCACAAACATAAAGTTACCAGAAATGTTTAATTCAAAAGGATTAGATGAAATGAATACAGGGAATGGTAATGTCAATCTCGAAAGAACAACAACAGAGATGAAACCTAATTTAATAAGTGGAATGATGAAACTTCCCGACGAATATGAGCATCAGAAATGTGTTCCTATGTCGTTTGGTGATGATGCTATAGATTTTAATTCAACATGTATAACTGAAGCGCCACGGGAAATTATCCTATTGTGCAGCTGTGTGATACTTATGACAAACACTTAATGAAAACCAAACTTGGTCAAATTCCATCAGGTTAGCCAGTATCTATTTAAAACTTAAAACTCTTAATTTAAAGTTTTGTATGTTAGACTATCTTGAAAAATGCTTTAATTGTAATCGTCATCTCATCTATTCGTAAGGCTTCTCTCCCTCTCCTGGTTTTTTGATTTACTTCCAACTACCTACTGATACTGCTCATAAGTAGTCACAAAGTATCGATGAAATTTTAGGAATTTTGTTAGATGGAATAGTAACTTGATACTGACGGTATTTTATGAATAAAATTAGTATAATGGCTTACCAAATGAATAAGTAATCACAGCATCAAAGTGTGGTAGGGAACACATAAGCACAAAAATGTGTGTTGACTGGCTTTATAATAGTAAAACTTGCCATAGAAACTCACTAAGAGCCCATAGCGCTTGGCTTTATTTTCACTATCACATAATTAAAAGTTGTTTTTCTTCATAAAACTCAAACCAGCGGATATTCACCTGGAACGGCTCAGCTTACAAGAATATATGGCCGGAATCGGCATAATTCTAGTTAGTGAATATTTAAATAAATTTGTCGATCGCTTGATCAGTAGTGGCGTGAATATTTCTTGTGATGGCTGCAGAGTTGAGTAGGAAAGGCTTGTAACTCAAATGATGCTTCATTTCTATCCCATTTACAAAATAGCTTTATGAGGAAATCTGAGTATTTTATTATATTTGTAAAACAGTCTCGGTTTGTGGAAATTCCACTGATAAATTGAATTTTTTGCGTGAAGTAACAATGAGCATGAGCCGATTTCTAGATTACTCTAACGTAATAAACTGGTAATAGTTTTAAACAACTTTTTAAAAATCCAATATCCAGATTACTATGGTGAAAATAATTCGGTAGGTTTAAACAGTATATTTGTTATTAGATAGTTGGTGGCGATCGGCACAAAGCCTCAGACTATGGTTTCGTGCTTGTTAGCATTCGCCAGTCACCAGGATGAATCTGCAGACTTCAAGGGACTGATACCCTTCCTGACGAGTGCTAACGAGTGTGAGACATAGGTTCAAGGATTTTCGCCAACTGGCTGCAACCCTCTTATAACAACAATTCAGACTGCATCGTGACATCAAGCAATCTATCGTGGTGGCCATACTGTAAAACTTAAATGATAGAATTCAGACTGAACCAAAAGAAGGACTAGACTCATTTACTAAGTAATGTGCAGTCAGAACAATATACATGCGTTGGAATAGTCGTAACCTGTTCAACTTCATGCTGGAATTACTGTTAATGGTTTGACTGAATTTATCGTAGATCCTTAAAACTAATAGTTGAAAGTACTTGAATGAACTATAAGCAAATGAGAAGGATTCATATGTTTAAATTGAAGTTTTGAAAAACAAATAAAACGTTGAGCACTAATCTCAGGCATATTAATTCCACCTCTGTTAAAGACACTGAGTAATGCAAAATCAATGATATTTATGTGTTTTTGTGGATTTTATTGGGAAATTTTGACACAGATTAAGCCAGTAAAGGATGACAATGAAAAGTCAATCACCAAAGAAGTGAAGCAAAGAAAAAACTTGGCTGAACACTTCAAAAGACTTCTAAATCGACCGCCACCTACAACGCGCCCAACAATACCAACAACGGAAGCAGAACTACCAGTGAACATCGACCCCCGACGAAATCAGAAGTCCTGAATGCAATCAAGATGCTAAAAGCTGGAAAAGCACCAGGACCAGGTGGAATCCCAGCAGAAGCTTTGAAGATAGACTCAGAGACAACAGCGGATTTTATGACGCCATTGCTGGAGAAGGTGTGGAAAGAGGGCAAAGTACCCGAGGATTGGAAGAAAGGATACTTATTCAAACTACCAAAGAAGGGCGACTTAAGTCAATGCAAAAATTGGTGCGGAAATATGCTCCTGTCCACCCCAAGCAAAATACCAAGCGGCATCACCCTGGAGAGAATCAAACAAGCCCTAGATGAAAAACTTCGACCAGAACAGCCTGGATTCAGGAGAAACAAATCATGTATTGATCAAATCGCCACTCTACGGATCATCATTGAACAAAGCTTGGAATGGAAGTCACCTCTCTATCTCAACTGACTGACTTTGGAAAGGCCTTCAGTAGACAGCGTCGATCGAGAGGCGATTTGGCAATTACTTCGCTACTACGGGGTGCCGTCGACAATTATACATCTCATCCAACAGTTATACGACAATGCTGCATGCCAGGTAATCCACAACGGGAAACTTACGGAAGCCTTCGAGGTGAGGCAAGGCTGCCTACTATCGCCAATGATTTTCCTGACTGCAGTAAACTGGATAATGAGACAGACAACAGGCAATGAGTAAACAGGCATAAAATGGACTCACACAAAAAAGAGACTTGGAGGATCTGGACTTGGCCGATGATATATGTCTGATTTCCCACAAACTGGGAGATGTGCAAGGGAAAAGCAACAAGCTGGCAGAAGAAGCATCAAAGATAGGACTATAGGTGAACATAGAGGAAACAGAGATGATGAAGATTTCTGGCCAACACCAACAGCAACAACAACAACAGACAACAATCAGCCAGCATAAATAGGAGGAACTGGAAGAAACAACCTCCTCTACCTACCCACCTACCTGGGAAGCATCGTTTCAACTACAGGCCGACGGAACTGACGAGGATATCAAAGCAAGAATAGGAAAAGCAAGACAAGCTTTCATTACTCTCAAGTCTGTGTGTAGGTCAACACTCGGCACTCAGCATCAAAAATAAGATCTGGATTTTCAACTCCAATGTGAAGTCAGTCAGTACTACTCACTATACGGATCAGAGACTTGGCCAGCGCGTCATAAAGAGCATCTCAAACGATCCTCAGACCTTCATTAACAGTTGTCTTCGCTCAATACCACTCAAGATCAGATGACCGTCCAGAAAAGAACAGCGACAGGGATCTCTGGGAATCAGCGAACCAACTCAGCGGGAACCGATTGTGAAACAAATAGGCAGGAAGAAATGGAGATGGATTGGCTGGCCATACACTGAGGAAACAAATCATCAAGTGACATCACTAGACAAGCCATCGCTCGAGTGGAACCCAAAAGGGAAGTGGCGAGTTGGTCGTCAGTGCGAGGGTGACTTGGAGGAGGTGATGTGAAGAGGAGATGAAAGCGTGTGTGCAGACTGGGAGCGGGGTGAAAACGTTGGCAGAAGACCGAACGCAATGGAGACGCGCAGCTGAAGCCTTATGTTCCTCTAGGAATTAAAGGATATAATAATAATAAGGAAAGTTAAAACTGCAATGTAATTTACCAGATTTAGAACTCTAATGTAAGTGACAGTAGGTTGTGTGTGTACTGTATATGTTAGACGTAGGTATTTGAATTAGATAACATGTAATAATTGATATTGTTTTAAATTGATTATATACATGTTTAATCCAGAAATACTAACGATAACGTCTGTTGTTTTTCTTCTTGATTATTTTTTCACTGCATAAAACAGAAGTCAATGAGAGTCCTGCTGAATTCCCACTGATTGCTGATAAATTTCTGCCATGCGATGAAAAAGAGTTGAATGAAACCAAAAATTCTCAATTTTATTTCACTAATACCAATATAAACTATATAACGGATAATTTAATATCAAATTCACAAACACCTTCAGCCTTTACTGAAGTAATTGGAAAAACTATCAAAGATGATGATGATGATAATAATAGTAATAATAAAAATAATTTTAATGTGGAGACAATGTTAAATTTTCTGCCAAGAATAGATACTGTAAATAATTCATTTGGTGTTAAGTCAAATGTTACTTCTGACAACATGACTATCACCGGGAGTAGTAGTAGTAATAATAATAAAAATTGTTTACTGAATATATCTTCTACATGGACGTCGAATTGCACAACTTTAACTTCACCAGTTCACTCTTTCTGCTCATCGTCATCTTCATCTCCATCACTGTCATCCACATGCCTTGTATCATCTTCATCACCACCGTTAGGTATTTCTGGAAGTTATTCTAAACTGATACTGACGTCAAAAAACAACACTCCTACTTCGATTGATAATGGGTCTTCTTTTAATAGTAGAGTATCTAAACAAGTTGAACAAGGTCATATTTTAAACAAAATAGAAATGCCAATATTAACTCATTTCTTTGAGAATCATGATAATAAATATAATGGAAAATTTATATCAGTTGATAAACAACAGTCTTTTAATGACAATATAAAATCTCAAGTACTCATTGATATTTCCGTTAAAAACTCAAATTTATTGAAAAGTAAGTTATCAATGAATGAGTATGACATTCTTACAGAAATCCAAGGTAATTTTAATACGCTTTTTAACTATTTAATTTAATTTTAATCATTCGGTTACTTTAAAAAGACGGTATATAGACGGTATTGAATCAACAATCGTCAATTATTTTTATTTTATTATTTCCTTGGATTTTGAGAGGAACTTAGGAATTCAACAGCACATCTGCACCTTGTTCTGCTGTTTGTGGGCCTCTTTAGCTGACCCCACGATTACCCATAGTCTCTCATCTCTTCCTCGAAATAACATCTTCTGTGTCACTCTCGGAAACACGCCAGACTCGTCGTTTATCATATAGGTTCTACATGAGTGATGGCCAGGAGCGCGATGTCATTCCACAGCCTCCTCAGTGTGTTTCTGATCCATTTCCTTTTTATTTGACATATTTGTTAGCCAACAGGTTCTTGATTGATTCGTTCGCAGAGTTTCTTACTACTAATTCTTTCTGGTTATTTGATCTTCAGTACAGAGCCAGCGAAGGCAGCTACTGATAAAGGTCTGCGACCTGTTGTAAACACTTTTCATGACCCATATAAAGGTATTGACTTTACGTTGATGCTGAAAACCCAAATCTTGTTCCGCAGCCGATTTGCTAACTGATTTCAGATTGATGAAGACCTATCTTGCCTTACCGATTCTGGCTCTCATATACTTATCCTTGTAATCACCTTTACCGCCTAGATAGATGAAAGATGGGACTTCTTTGAAATTCCTCTCGTCGATAATGATTGGCGTTTGTTGTTTTTTGTTGTTTATCTTCATCTTTTCCGTCTTCTTTGAGTTCATTTGAAGTTCTGTCTGTGCTGCTTCTCCTGCCAACTCCTTGGCTTTCGCCTATGAATCTTCGAGTTTTTGCGACACTAGACATAAGTTATCTGTGAAATCCAGATATTCTAGAGTCTTCCTGTTGGTTCAATGTATTTTCGTTTTCTCAATTCCCTCGTCAACGAGTCAATGGTAAATGAAATATGGTCAAATTTTACTTTGTATCTCACAACGTAATACATTACCGATTACAGATCATGTTTGTAATTTATAAAAATTCTGATCTTTCATTCAATCGTAAATTTTTAATCAACTTACTGACCTCTTTGCATTAACAATGAATAACTGAACATACAAGCTTCCAAAGATATGGTACGGAAAACAGCATTAATAGATAATGAGTTATGTAGCCTAGATTTCTTCAGTGAATTGCCACTCTTTTTAAAGGACTTATTCCCTAAAAATTAAAAGGAGTTCAACTAAGATAATCTACTATTCCTGGTGATAGAATAGAAATATAATAAAGTAATCAGTTTTCATTTATATGAATCAGATTACATTCTCTTATATTAATGAGTCTTCGAATATTGAAATTAGACGGTAACTGTGTCGTTAATAACTAACACAGAGGATCAATTCGAGTGTTAGCAATTAAAATAGCCGGAGGCAATGTTCACCAACACTTTCTTTTGGAAACAGAAATGCTCTCCACGGTACGAAAAGCAACCTACTTGACACTATAGACAGATTCATGTTTGTAACCATAAGATCTATATACTACATATTACTGTTTGATATGATTAATTGGAAATCTTTTAAACATAAAAATATTTTAAGTTCACCAAATGGAAATGATTCGAAAGACAGATTGTATCATAGGTCAACTGGAGTTTACCAGTAGTTTTAGGTTTTGAAAACACGGATACTCAGTCCGGATATCTGAGAAATTAACCTACTAACGGTGTTATATGTTGGTACTTTAGGTGTGTATATTGAATAAGAGCCTACCAATTTACGTGCTAAGCTAATTCAGAGGAGACGATGTACAAAATATTAGACAAATAATACTTTATGCAGATATGTAGTCTTAACATTCTGTTTAGTTCTACTGTAGGCTATTATTAGAAGTTAATTGGTGGATTCTGACTAGCAGTGGAATCCAGGATGCGCATTTCGTCATATTTAGGACTCGTCATCTGGATGTACCTACATTTCGCAGTGAAATATGATGTTTCCGCAGAGACTCGAACCCAGTGCCCACTTCGGTCCAATCAATCGATATGAAAATCTAAAGTTGAATTAACTAAGCTATTATTGTTTATCTTTAACACCAGAAAGCCTAAATTTCTTGACCATCAATCTAAATGATAAGTATCCTTTGAAGTTATGAAACAAAAAGACTATATAAAGACCTTTAGTTTAACTAAATTTTAGGAAATGTAATTCCCTTACCCTTCTTTTCAATACTGCCTATTTGACAGTGATAAATTCACTTTTATTTACAATGATTACTCTGAGTATATCATTTTCCCGAAAAAGAATTTTTTTGTTCAACTTGCTTTTTTTCTTCTTATACTATTCAGATGGAAAATTAGAACAGTTTAAATCAGGAAAAGCACAAAAGTCAACTAAAAGGCTGGACAATGAACGTTTATTGTCTACAGATAAATTGCATGGAAGATTAGAAAAGACTACGGGAAAAATGAAACGGATACGTACATCATTTAAGCATCAACAATTGAGAATAATGAAATCCTATTTTGAATTTAGTCATAATCCAGATTCTAAAGATTTAAAACAGTTATCACAAAAAACTGGACTATCTAAACGTGTTTTACAGGTAAAAAATTGATTTTCTTTTGAACAAACATTCTAAGACACAGTTTATAATTAATCACTCTACTATGCCAGAATTACATTCAATATATTTATGTAGTGTTGGTCACAAGGTATCCAGATCGATGGGATTTTCATTCAAGTCTGCCTTGACTGGCTTTAATGATGATTGTTAGCCAGAATGTGGTATGGCTTTGTGTTGCCCTGGTTATAAAATCTATCACCAGGAAACAGGACTCATTCAGGTAGTTTGAAGATGATGAGAACCTGTGAAATAGAATGATATAATTTTACACTGCAAATGTAGTCTTTCTTTCTCTATCGAAATTTATCAAGGGAACCAAATGTATGATACAGATCTCATTGTTACGTCGTCTGGTTTAATATCTAAAAAATGAGCTTCATTCACAGAATTATATCATCACTTGGCAGCTAGCTATAATTGTTCAACTAATCTTTGAATTTATCTTAGTATTTGAATAGTACTATAACAGGTTACTGCTCTGTCTGAAATATTTTGTATGTCCCTGAATGTTTCGTCCTTGAAAAGGTCTCTAATAAATCAGCGAATAAGATTACTGCTAAAAATGCCTTAAACAAAATAAATTTACACATTCCTCAAAATATGAGAAAAACTTTTGTCTTAACACCTAGATAATCCCGTAAATTTTGTAACTGATATAAAGGTTATATTTTGCAGCAGAACTCGAACAAGAGGCCTCTGGAATACTAGTCTAGCGGTAGATCAGCTGGAGTACTGAAGTAAGCTGTTATTCAGATCGTAATTAATCCGAAATGTGAACTACCAATGCCCATCGGTTATGTGAATGGAAGAGACCTGGCTGTCCGTTTATCACCAAACTGCTTGCTTAGCTAAGCCTTCTCTTGTCAGTTTGAATCAGTCTGAAATGATATCGGGACTATTTAAGCATTACTCATGATAAATGTAGTCATATGATGACCTGATTAGCAGCTTGATCATATTGCTTGTCTGGTTAGTTGCTGAGCTAGTGGTCTGTTGGATGAAGGTTCGAATTCTGCTTGAGACTAGACTGTCATATCGTCTTCAGTTGTAATCCGTTGCATTAGTAACACTTTGCTAATGGAGTTCCATTTAATACCACCATTAATGTGGAGAAAGTTGACTACTGTGTTCAAACTTAGTGGACTGATTACCTGATAGTCCTAGACTTGATCTCTCAAATGGTCAGGTTTATGCACTGTTAAAGCACTCCAAACTGCAATAAAATTCTTATTTAATGATCAATGGTTATTACACTTAAAGTCAGCTCACATACTTCAAGTTTGGTTACATGGTCACTGAAACTGTACCTTTACTGATGTGCTCATTCGCTATAATTTTTGATGAGACTGTCTGACACATCCATGGATTAACAAAATAGAAGGAGTTTCGATGCACTATAAGTCTTTCATTTCAAACGCGTTAATGATAATGACTGGAGGAGAAATAAGAATTAGGTTGTAGCAAGTTCTCATCAAGTAGTATTCGGATTATTAGCTCAGCGCTAGAATCTATCTAACGCTATTGCTACCCGAATCTTCATTATACTGCGATTATTAACACTTGATTAACAACTGCATCTATTAGCTTTTAACATTGCGCTAGTAATCCATAAGTGGTTTGTTAAAATTTCGCTATACCACAGGTTTTATTTCCACCATTGATCACAACGTGCGTCAGTGGCATAGCGGTTAGGACGCTCGTCGACCATGCACATGGTTTGGGGTTCGATCCCTGGCCGACGCACTCCTTTACCTTGCTAAGCCAGAAATAAACTATGGTAAAGAGAAAAAGGTTGGGTATGAGGCTAGCAACCACATACTGTAAAAATAATCACCACTGCTACAGAAACTTCAAGCTTCTAGCATGAAGCCCTATGCTCCACTGGGAACGTGAAGTAATAAAAAAAATTTATCACAACTAGTCACACCTAAGGTTTAGTATTGTTAAGATGATGATAAAATTACCAATGTGTCTGACAGTCCTACCGTCTACAGTAAACATTTATTTAGTTATCTTTGGAAATTAATCAAAATTCTTATCAACTTATATATCATAGCTTGTGTGTAATGTCTGGGCAGTTTTGAACTGAATTTAAAAGGGTACGTCTTTTTAAAAATTACTCAAGTCCTAAAGGTTCTGATTACAACTGGAACATTATGCAGCGCTGCAGACAAAATCGAAGTTCCTTTCTGACGAAAATATGTGTTATCAGGAAGTGTTTATTTCTAACATGAAGACTCATCAGCCTAATTACTGAAGCTCTACTGAATGGCTGATAGACATTAAGTTTTAGTCTCAGTAAGACTACAGGAAATGACTCGTGTGAATACATCTGACAAGTCGGAGATAAGAGGGAAGGCATGTAGTTCATTCCACTGCTAGCCACTGTCTGTAACTGTCTGTAGAGCTTATGAGTTATGAATACAAATTTATTTTGATTACGTTTTCATTGCAACGCATGTATCTGTATATCTAATCGTATTCTTAGACAAGCATTCCCTAGTTTTTTAATAATTCACAAAGACATTTTTTCTTCATAAACGCTTTTAAATTAACTCATGACTGGTTTAGCTGAACAGTAGATCTTATTGCTGTTTTGATAGTTTTTTATTTCTTTACGTTCCCAGTGGAACATAGGGCTTCAACCTAGAGGCTTGAAGTTTCGGTAGCAGTGGTATTTATTTTAGCTGAGTGGGGTTGCTTACCTCATACCCAACCTTCCTTCTTCACCAGTCTTATTATTGACTTAGCGAGGTAGAGCAGTCCGTCCATGGCCAAGAATCAAACCCCGGGTCACATGTGTGGTTGGCGAACACTACCGCTGTGCCACTGACGCACAAACACATAGGCTATTGATGATTTAATAGTAGCACGCACTCGCCGGGGTTCGACCCCAGAACCTTCTTGTTACAAGGCGAGCTCGCAGACCATTAAGCCACTGAGAGCTGGCTTAATGGCTAGCTCTTTAAGGTATGATTTTTATTCGGATTCATGTATAGAATTGTTATGATTCCATGGTTCAAAGGTAGCATTTTTGCCTATCACACAAGTGTCCCAGGGTTCAAGCTCTAGTCGATGCACTCCTAAACCTCGTTTAGCTGATGGTTAGCCTGATAAAGAGGGAAGGCTGGATGTGGGGTTAGAGACCTGACCCGGGAAAATACTGCTGCTACGGAGATTTCATAGCTCAAAACTTGAAGTCCTATATTTCACACGGAATACAAAAGAATAGTATGAAAAATATAAAGTTATTATTTTGATGTAACGAAGTTACTCCTGTTCGCTTCACTTGCATAACTCAATAGTCTTTTCCAAAAAAAAATAACGCTTCAAAGTCATTATTAAATTCAATATTTTTCTAGGTATGGTTTCAGAATGCACGTGCTAAATTTCGTCGTAATACTAATAGCCAAGTGTATGTGGAAAATTCTAAATCAAACGATTCTATTCCAGTGGTTCAGTATACAACGTCAACAACAACCACAACAACACCACCACCACCACCACTGAATATGAATCTTACCAATGAATCAACTTGTCAAAATATCACAGATCCTAAATTCTATACTGGTTTAGGTGCATATAATTATGAAGAGGAGAAAGCAGATAGTATTTATCCTAAACCAGTCACTTCAGATTATGATATTTTCTTGTCTACTTCATCAAATCATCAAAATAATACACGATTAGCCAATAATTTTTCTTCTCATGATGACAATAAACATGATATAATTTGTTTAACGTCAGATTTACCAAATTATGGTGATAATTTATCCCAGCCTGTTCGGTGATTTTTAGTATACCTAAGCACAATCGTGTATCATTAGTATTATTACTGTTTGTTGATAAATATACAAGGATACTTTTCAACATTCCATGTTAAATAAAATAGCAAATATATTGGCTATATCTTTTTCGACATACTCCTGTACGCAGAACACATATCAATGAGCCCAGGCTATTAGACGAAAAACAAAAGTCTACAATTTAAGGAGGCGAAAAATACTTCAGATAATTGTAGACTGTTTGACGTTGTTTATTTTTATTTTTCGATTGACAAAATACAATGCTGCTTATATCAGCCTGGAATGTATTTCTTTCTCCTTTCTCTCTACTCTTTATTTTTCTCATATTTATTGGCTGTAAAGTTTGCATGGTTGACAGTTTGTTTTATTCTGCCCACATCTACGTCTATTGAACCATTGAAACATTGAATACAGTACGTGAGAACTTCTAATTTATTTTACTTTCTAAGTTTTTTTTTCCGTTTGATAATGAACTCTTTGCTGTTGATGCATTAAAATTCCAACAAATGATAATGACAGTCAAGTTAAATTCATACGAATTTTATCTTCTCTTCATTCAATTATTTGTTTTACTTAGGAGGTCTCTTTCGAAACTACCTTTTGAAAATTTTTGTTTTAATTCACAAAACAAACTATAAATATTAAATGGCAACTGTATTAAACTAATTTGAAAAGAAAAAAAATCACTCCTGAATTCAGTAAATTTAATTATTTCAAAGTTTTAAGCTTCTATTTAAGTGGAGATTGTATCATTTTCATTATCCTTTCTGTGATTATATGATTTGTGAGTTATATATATTCTCAGTCCTAATTATTTGACCTAATATTGCATTAAGAGTTGCGATATTCTAGCTAAGTTTTAGTTATTAAACGAAAAACGATAACTTGATGTTATCCTACAGGTGACTGGAAATCACGTAATGCTGAAAAGTGGTAAATACTCTCCTGAGGTAAAAAAATAATGTATTACAAAAAATTACACAGTTTTGTTGAATTATTATTTATATTTTGGTAATTCGTAGTGGAGTTCAGGGAAAACATATATCACCAGCATATCTTGAGTTGCTTTTGCATATATCGCTGAATAAAACGAATTTTAGAGCTCTGAAGACTATAGATAGATAGTGACAACAGTAAAAGGTTTTGTTCCCGATAATACAGAAGACTTGAAGTGATTGATTCAATTTGTACAGATCGGTTTAATAAGGTATTCATAATTTTGAAAAGAATAATTACTGAACAAGGAATATTCTTTTCGATAACCTGCTCTTCATCAGGTTCTACAATTATATGTACATAATAGTGAATGAATTAGCGTTACTAACAACATTAATGTTGTGTACATAACATCGAATCAATAATATCAGTAGATTACAGTAGCATCAAAATAACAATTAACCGATTGCCAGAAAAATTAGGAAAGATAATAATACAAATACATGAATTTATGGTCTCCACTGAAGGCCATGGAAACAGAAGTGGCTGGAATTGCTTCTTCTGTACATAGAACATCGGTTGTTTAAGACAAATTGCGACAGCCTCAGCTGTTTTGGAGTATGCTGTACCTAGATGTTTTTGACAATTTATTTGATACCCACTAGATGATAGAGAAGGATTCATTCATACTGGCTTTGTGGCCGGTTTGGACCAGGTGGTCTAATATCGAACTGTTGACGGTTTTCACTACACCTTTACTTAGCCACACTGGGAGATGTTCCCGAGCCTGAAAAATCAAGTTCCTAGAGCAATAGCCAATATAACTCGCTTCACAAGCGCAGTTGAATTGGTGGATAAAATAATGGGTAGCTAGTCTAGGTAGTTCATCTTACAGTTGAGGAATCACCATTGGTCGTGTAGAAAAAATATGACTTGTAGTTTGCCAGCATTTAAAGTTCTTTGAACTGATATTCTCGACTTCTTCGTTATTATTTCACCAGTTGCGTCACTCTTGAACTGCAGTCGTATATATAAAGATCTCTTGTTGGCGGATAGTGAGTAATCCTTTTCAACTTTATTAGTCATATGTTTCCTCATGAGTATGTCTGGATAGCTATTTTCAATCAAGGTATCATATACAATCCTCAGTTCATCTTTAGTTAGCTCTTCTGGGCATATAGCTCTAACCCTGTGGCTGAAGGTCTTTATTGAATTTCTTTTGTAATAGAGAGGAACGAGGCAATGAAAATGTGTGTGTTCATAATTCATGAATTTATTTTCTCACAAATTTTGAAAGAATCATTTTCTACCCTCAGGAGGATCGCTGAATTTTCAAGAAGTCTGAGTCTTCAGTAATTTTGTAATTTTGTCTTTATAGGTAATATTTCATTCCGAAGAACATAGGTATGAATTAAAAATAAAAAATTATTTTTGCAGAAGGAATTTTATTATTGTATAACCATTATTCCCTTGGGTTCTGATTGTAACAGCGCATCTTCATTTTGTCCTGTTTTCTGCGGCCTTTTTCATTTGGCTCCATGACTAACCATGGGGTGTAATCTTCACCTCACACGATCTCCTCCATGTCAGCCTCAGACACACATCAAACTGGCTGTTTACCATCCGAGTTCCATTCAAGCAGTGGCTTAGCGTGTGATGTCATTCGACGATCTCCTCATCATGTCTGACCCATCTCCATTTTTTGGCATATTTACTGGTCAACAGGTTCTTGATAGGTTCGTTTCTCATGTTCTTTGTTGCCAGTATTTCTGGTCATATGGTTAGTAATATATAATATTTAATTTTCGAGTAATTATTGGATAAAATGGGTTAAGATATGAAATAATGAATATGCGAATCCGTCCAAAACATCGGGAGAGCTGAATATGACAAACTGTGGATACAATATCTGGGACAATGGATACTACAGAATGAAGGTAGTAACAAAGAATCAATGGAAGAAAATCACTTTAAGCCTAACAATCATCATCCATCCTTTTTATAACTCTAATCTTAATAAAATCATATGGATATACATTCTATATGGAATTGTTTAATTCTAAATTCTTCATCAACTCTGGCATAATAACATGTATTTTTTGTCTGATCATAGACGAACTGCTAATCAATTTAGGCTGAACAGAAATCATTTAAAACTTTCATCATAATCTATCGTAGAGTAGGCAGCATTTCAAAAGAATTTAGTCAGCATATTATTATTGTTTCCTTTAATTCCTAGAGGAACTGCTTCAGTCACACGTCTCCACCGCGTTCGGTTCTCCGCCAACATTTCCACTTAGCTCCATGTCTGCCTATATACTTTCATCTCCTCTTCGCACGATCTTCTCCATGTCACCCTCGCACTGACGACCAACTCGCCGCTTCCCACTCGGATTCCAATCGAGCGATGGCCTGCTGTGTGATGTCACTTGATGATTTGTTTTCTCACAGTATGGCTAATCCACCTTCATTTCTTCCTGCATATTTGCTGCACAGTTGGTTCCTTCTGAGTTGGTTTGCTATCAAAGATCCCTCACTACTGCTGATATTTTCTTCTTGGCCATCAGATTTTGAGTAGTATTGAGCGAAGACAGCTGTTGACAAGGTGTGTAATGTGTTTGAAGTGGCTTACGTGACGCGGCGCCAAGTCTTTGGTCCGTATAGTAGCATTGACTTCACACTGGAGCTGAAAATCCGCATCTTTTTTTCATGATGAGTGATGTTGGTCTCCACACAGACTTGAGAGAGTCAGCATACAGGGCTATAAAATATAACCAGTCAGTATACCCAACCCACACCTACACGAAGTCATTTTTAATTCAGTTACCTTATTTTAATGACCCTGTAGCTCTAGATGAAGTAAGTTTGCATTCCTGAGATGACATGATTTCCAACAGTATTCCAGACGTGTCCTTGGCGTATGGCTTCCTGCTGAATGCCTCCAGTCATTCAACCGCAGTTCACAGTATACAATGAAGGCGATTCTCCTGGATTGGTGGTGAAAACTTGATCAGAAATAATTTTTTCACAAATAATATCTTGGTAACATGACATTAATTACTGTCCGGCAATAAGTCAATTTGTATTTTTATTCTTTTGCTGCATTAATGAAGAATGTGAACTTTTTATATACAGCTTTGCAATAACAAGGAACATGCATTCAAATGCATCAGTTGTAATGAATATTCAATGGTTAAATAATTATTTGGGAAATGCACTTGACACGAGAATCTCAAAATGATCACTGTCTCTTTCTGAACGCACAGATTAGGTATAAAAGCTTGAGTGGCTATAGATTCAGAGAGGTGGATGAAATTAAAGGTTTTCATAAATTTGCTGTGTTCGTGAGTTGAGTTGCACACAAATGATCTCATGCTCCACAGAAATCCTTCATAAAGAAAGACAGACGCTCATAGACCAGACATTCCTTCACACTCACCTTAAAAAATTAATGTGAACTGATGATTGTGGTTAGGTGTGACATATGATTAACATTTGATAACTTTTGTTTGGAATTTGATCTTAACAGAATTATAAACCAGGAAAGATTTTCGCAGCTAAACAGCTCCTTATGGCGACACATAAAGTTTAGTTTTCATTCCTGAAACACAGACTCCTTCAAACGCTTAGTATATTCTCGATTACCTGATATATAGTTGGAACCAGATTTCGCTGTTGTATCTTGAAAAAAAGCCTCTACCGTTTACTTTACTTTTTACTTTACTTCGGCTATCTCCTACGGGAGGATGAGCCGGCTTCATGAACGTCTCGAATCATTGCTGCCCAGGCGCGGCAATTTGTAAGAGAGTTCATGAAGTTTCATGGGAATTTGGTACGAGTGATGTCCCCAGAATCGCTCGGCCTTTTGTTTGAGAGTGCAGCTCTAGCCTTTACACAACCAACTGTGACCTACAAGGCAGTAGGAGTGGAGTAAGGAGTACACTATCCATTGGCAGCCGATGACCGGAGTTCGGTTCATACGCCTTTTTGAATGGGGCCAGACATCCAGGACATCCAACAAGCCCTTTGTCCATACGTCTGCCGGTGAG